ATGCTAGTTATTTGATAAATAACACTACGAACTTAATAAGCAATGTAAAAAAATTTATAAATCATAATATATATTTTATTTTTACTTGTGAAGTTAGTCATTTAGCAAACCATGTTTGAGTTTACATAGGTTAGGTATTTAACAAGTAGCATTCCGAATTCAATAAGCAACATAAGGATATTTACAAATATATATATATATATATATATTAGACATTTTACTTATAAAGATAGTCATTTAAGAAGCCATGTTTGAATTTTGTATAGGCATGCTTGACCTCAACTCATCAACTATAATGGACCTAGTGTGCATTTCTTCTTGTGGAGCACAACCAAGTTGTCATGCCAACTTGTACCTCATTAAAGTGTTAAGTTTAATTACCTTACTAGTATTGGATATACATTTACAACTACAATGATCATATTTACAACCATAACATTAAAATTTTTACAACACGAAATACAATTATTTGGATAGCACACTTTAATTACATCAATGTGCAGCACCTTCATCTAACCACTTACTTTGCAATTGTGATGTCGCAGAACAATTTACATCATAAAAATGCTTTCCATTTCTTTGATACCAAGTCTCCACACTATGAATACATACCAATCCATGTTAACAGAATTGATAGGTGCCATAAGATTTTTGCTAATATATTCAAGCTATTAATATTAAAATAGTAAGTCATTGTATAACAAGACAATTTTAAGTTATAATCAAAATCACTTTACATGTCCATGTACCTTTCTACATTTTTATACCATAACTTGATATAAGTGGTCTACCCAAAAAAATTGATAAGAGTAACAATTTGACAAGTAATATATAATAATTAATAAATTCAAGTACAAGTGGGAACAAATTTATATCAGTAACAATAATTATTAAAGTAATAACAACTTTAATTGCTGTATTTACAACCTACGCAGGACACCGGGTTGACAAAATTAAAATCCACATAGGATATGGTTATGCCAACTGGCCTGCCAAAACCGCAACGTTAGTAGACCCATATTTCAACTCTAACTCTTGCATACTTCATCTCCCTTAAATTAAACGTCTATTGATTAATTAATAGCGAAAACCCTCAGAGTAACCTGCGGGATCAGCTTGGATGACGTCTCAGACCATATAATGATCCCTGCCTGGAGCTTCCATTGTCTTCCTGCCGTTGGAATCAGAGCCAGCAAACCCTAATAAACTACTTCCATTGTCCATTTCTTTATACGGTTTCATACACAGCCTGGTTCTTATATGTGTATGTTTGTGTAGGAAAATAGATATTGGAAAGTCTGGGAAGATGTATGGTGGCAGTAACTGATCGATCTTATCAGTTATTGTTGTTGTTGTTAATTTATTTTTTATTATTCTTTTTTTTATCCTTATTATTCTTATCCTCATTCCTATTCTTATTCTTCCTTCAAGGACCTTTCGTTACCCCAACAAAAAAAATAAGACAAAATAAATAAAAACTCAATGGAGGACCTAGTGATTTAATTGAAAATATTTTGAAAAATATTTTGAAGAAAAATGATCATAATGTCCTTTGTGGTTTTAAGAATTAATATTACTGAATTAACAAGTTAATTTAAGGTTTTAAAAAGTCACTAAGATTAAATATGTAGAGATTACTATCAACATGTTTTGATATTAAATTAACAAGTAATATTAGTGAATTAACAAGTGAAGTTAAGGTTTTAAGTCATTAGAATTGAATATGAAGAAAATATTGTTAACAAGTTTTACTAATATTCCCTCCATTCCAAATTACAAGACATTTTTAAGGAAGATTCAGTGTCCCGAAATATAAAACACTTTGATAAAAATAAAGTTTCATTAATGATACTTTTTTAATATTACCCTTCCTATATATTCTCTCTTTTTAATTTTTTTTATCAATGGAGTATTAAATGAATGGTATTTTTGAAAGTTTATATTTTCATCTTAAAAAAGTAAAATTATAAAATATATTTAATAAATTTTATTGGTATGTGAGATTTTATATAAAAATACCTTATAATTTGAGACAAAGAAAGTATTCGCAAGAAGCTAGCATTAATGAAATAATAAGTAGTATTATTGACAAGGTTTCTCGTTAACTACCAGTAAAGGACATTATGGTTATTTTTTCCAAAATGTTTTAGCCTTAATTCAATATGATGTCCCATCAGTGGTGGTATGGTAAAATTCTCCCGCCAGAATAAAAGAAGACTTCGAGAGTAAGGCTGCCATGAGCAATAAAAGATCGACACGTCATGGAATCCAACAAAGGATGAGCTCATCAAGCAACAAGCAGTTTCCTTACATCCATCCATGTCTCCAAAGCATTTCTGTTTTGCGTGTATGTGTATATAAGCGTACACACAGAAACAAACCAACGTACCGATAAGCGCTGAAGTAGAAAAATGAAGTGGTTCGAGAGCGTTAAAAACACGAATTGGCCTGAGTGCACTCAGGATTTGTTAGGGAGAGCCAAAAATGTGAATTGGTTTGAGAGCACTAAAGATTCACTGGAGCGTGTCAAAAAGGTGAACTGGTTTGAGAGCGCCAAAACTTTGATAGGTAGTGCCAAAACTTCGAATTGGTCTGAGAGCGCTAGAAACTGGGGATTCAGAGCTATGAATTGGTTAGGCAGTGTCAAGTTTTGGCATTTAGTGTTGGGAGGCGTGCTTGTTCTTCTCGTCGTTGTTGTTATTCATGGCTGTGGATCTGGTGGTGCTTCTAGTGGCAGAAAAATAATGAAAGCTCCTGGTGGGAAAGGCCGAACCATGTACAGAGACGTCTTTGAAGGTAACCCTAGAGGCTACTTTCGCAGCATGCACAACAAATAGACTTGGAAAACAAGCAGATCTACATCATGCAGTTATTAGTTAATAAGAGTGAATCGGATTATCATTTCTTCGTTCTGGCCTGTTCTGTTTTTCTTGATTTCTCGTTGATTTGTGTTTATGTTGATTTTGGGAAATGAAATCGTGCACTGGCTGGTGCACCTGTTGGTTTGTTTTGCTGTTTATGTACTGTATGTAAGCTTGATGGATGTTTGATAAATCGACTCCGAAAAATTAATCCAACCCGATCAGTTATTGGATGTCTCTACAAAGTTTCCCGGATTTTATTATATCTAAACAAGGATACTATTTGGTATATACTATCATTTCACTTAAATTTACACAATAAACAAGTTTGGAATTAATAATGCTAAAATTCAGGAATTAAATTTGTTCATTTACCCTAAAAAATATTTGGTCCATCCTTATTATTATTGTTCGTTGGTTAATTTGGTAGATTGAACTCATTAATTACCTGGTTTTCAATGTTAAACTAGAGTTTGGTTTTTGGACTGTGTACAATTTACAACTTCCTTAAATTAAACGTCTATAAATTAAGATGTATGGTGACATACAGTTCGGTCTTATCAGTTTTTGTTGTTGTTGTTCTCACAATGGTGACATCCAGGGATCAAATTTGTTCATTTGCCCTAAAAGATGTATGATGTTGTTGTTTTATTCTTGTTCTTATTAATCTTATTTTTTATTATTCTTATTCTTATTGTCATTCTCATTATTGTCATTTTTATTCTTCCTTCAAGGAGCTTTCATTACCCAAACAAACCTCCAATGATACCAGCGACCTACCATTCTTGTTTCTTCTGTGCGTCAAAGTTAAAGCTCTCGTACCAATCTGTTGCTAATTACCAGTTAAATATACGATCGTATATAACTTTTTCCTAATATCTTTAGAGACTCCAAAAGCAAGATCTATCCTATCTTGAATTTTCTTTTCATGTTTTCAATGCTTCCGTTGAATAACATTTGAAATATGCCTTAATATATTGTATAGCAATAACCTTATATATCCATTTTGATATAGAAATTGACAGATGTGGCATTGCCTTCACTTGTTTTTAATTTCAATTTACTACTTGAATCGCATCTATCTAACTTTTCACACTAAATAAACGCATAAAATATTGTGACATAAAGTTGTAAATTAAAGAAAGTGACGCCATTTTTACCAAAAACGAAAAGAAAAGTGATTCCATTTGCCATTCTTGTTTCTTCCGTGCGTCAAGTTATTGTGTATACCAAAAACGCATAAAATATTGTGACATATGGTTTGGCTTGCGCAATACGAATGACTAGCTTACTCAAAATGCACCCAAGTACTTCAAACCAACAAGTTTGCTCGATTATGGAACCATCTGCAAAGTGTATTGCATTCATGGACTACGATCTTAGTCACAATCTTAAGGACGTAGGTTGATTTCTTACAATTTTCTCTTCCAATATTTATAGGCTTTTGCCTCAATTCATAATTCAAAAAATAAATGTTAACGATGAATAGAAACCGTGAAAACATGACAAGATTTAGGCTTTGTATTAGAACAGCACATCATTTCATTTACAAAGCAGCAAAAGCAGCAGATCATCAAAAAGAAAGAAACCCCAAAAAAAGATAACTTTAGATATATCCTAAATGAGAAGTATTATCGTTATTCATATTAATTATTGTCTTGGTCTTCTCCATTGTTTCCTCTCCATTTCTTTTATTGTGTTGGTCTTCTCTACTATTCATATTAATTATATTTTATAAATGAGAAGTATTATCTAGTTCATATAACCTAAAAATAAATTAAAATTTAGGGACAAAATTAATAATCAAAAAAATTTAAAAATGAAAAAGTTATATTACCCCTAAAATAAATATAATTCGAAGGAACTAGCCAGGAAGAAAGAGGAACAAAGGTAGAAAAGAGTTAAAGGCAATTTCCCACGAACCCTCTACACACACACAAACACAAATTACTATTTATGCACACACAAACCACTACCAAAGCCCTTCAAGGAATATAACAATTTAACATAAGAAAGAAGAGCTGTGTTGTGTAGTGAGTCAAGTGTGAAGTAGAAGAATGAATGGGTCTGGGAGCCCTGAAAATGGTGGTGGAGGCAATCCTGGAACTGAAAGAAAGAGTAATTTTGATGTTGCAACAGGTGTGGCTCTTGCCACCGCCGCTGCAGTCGGGATCACCGGTGCCATCTTCTAGTTTGGCTCTTCGTCCTCCAAGGATGAGTCTAGATCGAAAACCATGAAAGCTCTTGGTAAGAACGACGAGGTCATGTACAGGAACGACTTTGTAAAAGATGCTAAATCCTACTTCCAAAACTTGCAACAAAACTAGGCACGAGACGAGAAGATTTTGCCTGTTGATCTCAGTTGACTAAGGTTAATTATATATTTATATATTATATATATGCATGGGCTCGTCCACTCTGTTTTCTTATTTTAATGTTAACTATTAATTTCTCTTTTTTCCGTTGATGTGTGTTTTATATATGTTTACTAGGAATGATGCGGCTGTGCTGATGCACTTGTTGATATACCTCCTTTTGCTGTTTATGTCATGTATGCTTCATGTTTGACAATACGAATAATATAATGTCAAGTAGTATTCTGTTTACGTTGCTTGTGAATCCAAATTTTTTTTATTTATTTTCCCAAATTTAATGGGAAAAACAAATATCTAAAATTAGAGTCCTTATATGAATGTAAATGCAGATCTTGAATTTCTGCTGCAATTTCCCCATATATGCCTTCTTGCAAATGGGCACATATAATTAATTATGTACGGAGTCTCTTGTTAATTTTTTCCCATAAAATTTTTGTAAAGTATTGTGGTTGTTGAGTGAATAAAGAAAAAATGGGCGAAAAGTGAAAACTCACAACCTAGACTCAAATTTGTGCAAATATGCAACGTAACCCCTAAAAATTTGAGAATCTAAAATCATCTTTTGTGTAATATTTTTGTAAGTTAACCCTTATAATTAATAAAAGTTAACTTTTGACTGTTTATTGATTGAAAAATGACAAACAATAATATAAAAATGACAGAAAATTACTAAGAAAAAATTAATTTTTTTAGTAATTTTTTATTTTCTATCATTTTCCGATCAAAGTTAATAGTTGTTAATGGTAAGATCACATAGCACTATTTTTAAAAGTTGAACAAAAATATTTCATAAAAGATTAATTTAGAACCAAGACATTTTTGAATTTATGGTTTAAAGACCAATTTGCCCTCACTAAAGTTGTATAAAGAATATGGTATCAAAACCTCAAAGTAAATAGTAAATACGCTCATATGGAACGGACTTTTGTGGTTAATCACAGAACGTATTCTCATCTAATGCATCACCACCGTTAGATTAGCTTACAGATCAACTCCTCCGTGATGATCAATCAATCGGATCGCATTTCCCATGTCCTTTCCTTATTCTCATTTAAGAAAAAGATCGGAAGGAGATACCCCATTGATTTTTGTTTTTTTAAATAAAGCTTACAGTAGGAATAAAACACACATGAAAGATTGAAATTTGATGATTTTATAAACTATTTGTGCAGAGAAAGAAGGTGCAGGCGAGACAAATAAGAAAGTGGCCCACGAAATGGGCGAAAACACAGGGGATAGATGTTACTACATATATATATAAAATAAAGGTTTACGAAAAACGATGGAAATAAGTATAGCTTTTAAACTTTCGAGTTAACTCTCTAAGTTTAATAATTTTATATTTTTAATTTATAAAATTATATTAATTCACTTATAAACTTTGACTAATTAAATACAAACTTGATTAAACTTGTAAGTTTACCATTTTAACATTTTTAATTTACAAAATTATGTTAACTAATTTATAAACTTAGATTAAGTGTAAATTTGGTTAAACTTATTAACTTCATCAATTTTTCATCGAGTTGAGCAAGTTAAATATATATTACATAGAACTCAATTCATAAAAGTAATAGGATCATGTTTAAAGAGAAAATAATCTTAAAAATTTAAAACTAATATTAATAAAAAAGAAAAAAATATACCAAAAATAAGTTACCTTATTATGAAATTTTTTATGTTTTTTATCATAATTTTTTAATGTAAATGGATTTAATTTTAATGGTTTATATTTGAAATATATTTAAATCAAATTGTGATCATATTTTATATTTTAATTATTTAATCGTATATTTTTAATGAATATCTATTTTGATAACCTTGAGAATAAGGAATAAGTAGTTAAAGTAGGTGAAGTATTATTATAAATCAAGTTCCAAAATCAATGAACCAAATTCAATGCAAGCAAAATAACCATATTATTATAAGCAGAAGCAGATGGAAGACAGCAAATTACTTAAGAACCATCACATGCATAATTTCATTACTCAACAAGCCACATAGAGATACATTGAAAAGAAAGAAACCCGACGAAAACAAAAACATTATTCTTATTCAGATATAGCCAGGAGCAATAAAACTCTTTCATACTTCATCTTCCTTAAAGTAAACGTCTGATCTATTGATTAATTACTTGCGCAAATCCCGAAAGTAACTCGCGGGATCGGCTTCGAAGACATCTCTGTACATACGATGATCCCTACCTGGAGCTTTCATTGTCTTTCTGCCGTCGGAATCAGAACTCAAAAGCGCTGATAAACTTCCAACGACACCAACGATAACAGCAACAGCGACCACAGCAACAGTTCCGTAACCCATTTCTTGATACGGTCTCAGAGACAGCTTGGGTCTTGTGTGTGTCTGTGAGTTTGTTTGTTTTTCTTTTTTGGGGGAGGGGGAGTATATATAGAAAAGTCTGAGATGTGTGGTGGCATGCATGCAGTATATATCTGTTTTATTATTATTATTATTATTTAGTATAACGTCCATTATTAGTGGTAGTACTATAAAATTGTCCCGTCAGAATAAAAGAAGACTTAGAGAGTAAGGCTACCAAGAGCAATAAAAATTGACACGCCATGGAATCCAACAAAGGATGAGCTCATCGAGCAACAAGCAGTCTGGTCACGTCCTCACTCATATTGTGACGTCCGTCTATCAATATTTGCATCATACGGAAATATCAATTAAAAACAAGTAATAATTCATTTTTTGAATACTCCGTCCGCCCCTAATTATTAATCATTTCCATCAACTTTATTAATACTAACACCAAAAAAGTACAAAAAATAAAATTTAGTAAAATTATAAACATAATCCTCCAAAAGTAAATAAATTATATAATATCATTTTTTATTTCTCTCTAATACCTTTAAGGGTAGTTTAGATATTTTATTTAAAATAAAATATCATTATCAATCTAATGATTTATAAAGTGAACTACTTCACCCTTCTAGGAGCTAACTAATAAAGTGAACCGAAGGAAGTATATGTTAATTTAATCATTTGTTGATAAAAAATTATAGAGAATAATCCAAAAAATTTAAGAAACTTAAGGTTAATATACAATTTAAATACTGAACTATAGATCCAGGGGTGATTTTAACCCTAAATTTTTGAAACATACATTTTGAACCCTAAGCAATTATAGTTGGAGTAATTTTGCTCTAGTCATTAAATTTGAATAAATATTTGTCAGTGTATTTTTAAGAAATTCAAGGTCTAATGTGAGATTTTTATCAAATTCCATTATCTCTCTCTCTCCTACCCTCATATGAGGAAAATCGCATATTAGACAAATTTTAAAAAACTCACGGACGTTTGTTCAAATTTAACAGCAAGGTAAAATTGTTTCAACTTTAATTATTTAGAGTTCAAAATATACTTTTTAAAGTTTAGGGTTCAAATCATCCCAAACTCTATTGTTCAGAATTCAAATTGCATATTAACCCATTTTTTTAAAGCACATTTTCTTAATAAATATTAAATATTTTAAAAATATTTATTAAATTTTATTTTAACAAAACTTTAAGGTACCCAATGCTTCTAGAAAAAGAGTTTAAGGATAAATCAATACCAAAAAATGTGTCACATCAATAGAAAAATGGCAAAGTTAAAAGATCACTATATGGAGGAGGATTTTTCCTCATTTGTAAAATAAGTTAGTAGAAAAATATGTCACTTATTAATATAAAGTGTCCAATACTCCTTGAAAGAAAGTACCAAAAAAAAATGCACTTTAATCTTATCAAAAAATAAAGTTTAGGAAAAATGGAAAATAAAGAACAAAGTAGTTTATTTTGAACCAGCATGAATAAAGTAGTTAAAGTCGGCGAAGTGGGAAGAAAAGCTAAAAGAGAATACTTATCATTTAAGTTATTATAGATAAAGTAGGTGAATCATATCATTATTTTTTTAATAACAAGGATGATGATGAAAATTGGAAATGTGACCACTAACCAATTTATTAATGTTCATAGGCCAATTGAGTCAAATCATTACTCGAATTAATAAACTTTATATAATTTTTTGAATCGCTACCTCTTCTACTCATGCATGCTTCATGTTTGATAACATAATGTAATTTTTGAATTTTTTTTTAATTTTTGAGGTCTTTTTCATATTTTTATGGTGAACTAACCATTAAAGCTAACATTTATTAGTAATAGATAACATATTATACCATTTTTGAATATTGAAGAAGAGCATTATATTACAAAAAAGAAAAGAGGTTTTTAAGGTCTTAAACACTGTAGGTGTATAATTTAAGGATAATATTACACTTTAATCCTATAATTATCTCCTTGCTCCTTGATTATAAGATACTTTTAAGTATCTAACAAGACATACAAAAGTCATTAAAGGTGAGAAATATATTCGATGACAGCATAGTGAAGACCCTCAATGACCGCATTGAGCATATGAAAACCTTTTGATGCGTAGAGTCTAGATTGCATTCTTTGATGCATAGTAGCCCTAGCCAGGATATAACTGCATTCTTTGATATGAACCATTTTGAAGATGGCTTTTCTTCATTCTTCGTAGACCTCCTCCATGAAGTTCACAACAAATGCTCAAGGAATAGCACTTTTAAATAAGAAAAAATGACAATAAAATCTCTTCGAATTATATAAATGATGATCTGGTTCCTTGAAATACCATAATATCAATGAAGTCCTTAATCATCTCTTTGTCAATAACTTTTTTTTTTAAAAAAAGACCATTTTATCTTTATTTTACAATATTAACAACCATGTGGCAATGGCAATTTAATTAATAATCATAACTTGCCACAATCTTAACAACTATATTATACATTGGATAATATGCATGACTGAACCAATCTTATATCCTCATTATATCTTTCAATTGAAATCGTGGGCTACCAGTTTAAATAAGGCTCTATTTTTGT